TAAGGGAGAGATAAGTGATATTCACACAGAAGTGATCAAGCTGGTATAGTATGCCTGGAATTTAAAACAGCATTAGAAATCAAGCTTCCAAAACATAAAAGGAAAAGTCCTCTTGTTAATTACTGTCGAGTTAAGTGAAGGAAGCAGGAGATAAATTCTCACACTGGTGAGATAAGATCTCCAAGGCATCAATACAGGAACTTATAATCCTGATTTGCAGGAACAGGCCAATACCTTTGCATAGGTGACAAACTTCATCCTCCTACCATTCAAGATTGCTAAATTATGAGTTATATTCATTTGTATTTATAGAATTTAAATATTCTCTATGAAGGGGAGACCTCTACAAGAGAGGAAGAAGCAGATAAAAATAGCTAGAGCTAAATTGTGGAGAATGTCTTAGGATTATATGAAGTCAGTAATGTTTTGTGGTCATCCTGGCAAAGGCAGCTCTAGATCAATAGCATCTGCATCACTATTTCATGTCTGCTCCTCATTAATAGGACAGCACTACCATTACTGATGGATGGTTGTTTTAAGTGGGCAATGATTAGGTCTGGAGCCAGACAGGAGACCAAGATCATCAAGTGAGGTTGAATAGTGGCACCGTAACTCCTATTCTAAATGCAGATATAAACTAATTAGGTGATATGTCCTTGCTTTTTTTTTTTTTGCCTTTTTTTTTTACTTCTAATTAACAGAGTTGGTGGAGAATAAATGAAACACAGAAAATTCAACTTCTATCATAATGAAGAAGACTTTGTTGTGTTTTTTTCATTCCTTCATCTTGATCAGAATAAATGGGTGTTCCGTCAAATAGGATATATTGCCAGAGTAAAAAAATTAAAATCTGTCACATTTCTGCTTCATGCCATGCAGAGAAATGGCAATATGAACATTGTTACCAAATTTATTTTGTCTTCCTCCAGTGAAGATAACCATCATTAGTTCTAGAAAAGAGAAGGTTCTATTATCCAGGAAGTACAGCTACTGAATCCAAAATATTTTAACTCTGGGGGGGAAAAAACACATTACCCTATTCAAAAAATAAAAAGCTTCAAAGGAATCTGGGAACTTACCAGCTGGATCTGAAGCTTACGTGATCCTTATTCACTTGAGAGCATTTTTTTGCTATTCATACAAATCCTACAAACAGCAACTATTAAAACCTTCTGCTATTCCTGCCTATGCAATGTATTCCCTTGACTGGAACCAACCTTCAAGTAAAATAGTCCCCTTGTTACACAGCTTTAGCAGTACCTGTAAGAATCAGCTATCAGTAAATGAGAAGAGCTAACCAGATATACTGATACAGGCTTATACGTTCTCTACAAGCTGTGCCATGCACTTACCGTGACTTTCAGTGCCAGTATCACAGTTATTCCCAACAGTGGAGATTACCGTGCTTAGAAATAATGTTTGTAATTTCCATTAATTCCAAGAAAGGCTTTAGCTGCTGTTAGTGGACACAGTGTTGTCCTCCTCCAAAAGTTACCAAATTATCCCCATATATGACTACATTTGGAAGCGTGCTTTAAGTAAGAGAAAAAAAAAATTATGCAGGTCTGCAGAACATGGGATCTTTTTGCACTCAATACTCCCGGTATACCAGAATTTTACATTGGACTAGTAAGTACAGCAAAGCAGTTGCAAAACAAATCTTACTAGACATCTTATTTCCCAGTACAAAACAAAAAAATGTTCCATATCAATTTGCTTAGAAGAGCAAATTTAGCAGATTTAGTTTAAGCAAATTCAGATTTAATTTTAAAAAATGATGAAGAAATTTTCAAAAAATTCTGTCCTGTTCCTACAGTTAAACTGCCATATTACAAGGTCCTCTAGATGCTTTCGTACAAACAAGCAAACAAAAAAAAACAATACTAGCAGTGCTTTAAAGGAACCAGTTCATTGGGCTGGGTTTTTTTAACAATCCCTTAGAGCCACTAACCTATGGATAAATACAAGGGAAGAATTCAAATGCAGTATTTCTATGAGGGAAATAAAAAAGAGCAGTTCTTTAAAAGTTATTCGTCTTGAAATCAAGTTTTCTTACATTTGTAGCTCTTTTACAAATGATTTTTGATATTTGACTGGAATTCCTTCTAGCTTGGGTTTAAACAGCAATCATAAAATACAAAACCCCAATACTTTAATTGTATGACACTTCTAGCATTTTTTAGGTCATTCATATTCATTCTAGTATGGCAGAAATTGTAGGAAGTTTAATAGAATGCACCTCATAGATCTATTTGAAAGTGAGCACCACACACAGTTATCAAGAGGCAAAGTATTCAGTTTGTTCATTTTTAGAATTATTCACATTGCTGCCTTTATCTAAATGAACTGTTATGTGAGCAGGATGTTTTAGGAACTATTCAGTATGATAGGATATTCTTTAATTATGATTAGTTAGACTCACAAATGATTATGGAATATACAATGTGTTGCAGCTTTGGATCATTATCCATGGAAATGTAATTCAGAAGTACAAACTAATTATTTCCGTCACTCCTTTTATTGAATCATAGCTTTCTTTAATTAGGATATTGATAAGTGAGCAGAGCAAATATCAGTTAATCTGATAAAGAATTAAATGAGCTATTAACTGAGAAACCTTAATCCTCCAAACAGCCTACATACAGGTTGTTCCACCTCCTTAGCAATGCCTACGAACGTAACGGACTAATGGATGATTAAAGACACATTTTTTACGGTGGCAGTCAGCCTGGGGGTTCCTGAGTCCTTTCCACACCTGTCAGCAGCACGGACAGACTCATGTCTTTCCATCCATGGGAAACCTCTTGCTGCTGCATGGCTGCTCTGTCCTCAGCAGGGCTGCATCCCACTCTTCCCACAGGCAGCAGTGGGCTGCTACTTCAGCATCTTGCATTTAGGAGACAAGTCTGATAAAGGCAGAGCAAGCTGAGTTGCACTCTCTAAGCCACTCAGACAGCTATGAGTTTAGGAACATCATTCTGTCTCGGACAGCGATGTTTATCATCTGTAAGAGTATGAAAACCAGTGGCAAGCATGGACAGTGTGTCTTTCCCAGCCTGCAAAAGCTCAGGACCCTTTTTAATCACAGAACCATAGAACGGATTGAGTTGGAAGGGACCTTAGAGATTACCTAGTTCCAACCCCCAGCAATCACATGTAGGAGTCAATTTTACTTTCATTAATGAGCCCATCTATTCCACTGCAAAGAATTCCAGTTAATTATCCATTGTGTGAAACATTTTTTTTTTAAAAGTATTTCCTCATTTCATTTGTATAAGAGTTTCACTTAAAACACCAATGCTACTATCTAATCTAGTTCAAGAGGTGATGGTAAAACTGCCTCTCTAAAGGTGAATGAATGGTTGAGAAACCATGACTAGGTGTTATTTAGGAGAAACTATACAAACTGATTGAAAGTGAGAATTCACATTAACAGAGAGAAGATATAAGCCATCAACAGCACTGATGACAAACGGTTCAGGCACTTCTTGGCAGACAACTGCTGCTTGATGTAAAGGCTCATATGCAGTCCTCTACCAGCTTGTTGTCTGCCAAGAAGCATCCTCTGCTTCTGTCAGAACTTCTTAATTAAAATGTAGCAATAGGTTATAGTGGAAAAGTTCACTCCTATTTGCAAGAATTAGATCTCCAGCAAAAAATGCAACTAGTTAATTGCAGAAGGAAGAGCTTTCAATTCTAGATGCCTTTAGATATGCTTATTTCTGGTTGCTGAGCTACTGTAGGACAAGTGATGTCCTTTAAGAGTCAGATATGAAACATTAAACAAACTAATTTTTGGTAAAGATCATGAAGCCAGCTACTGAACAGCTCTTAATATCTTTCATTACTGTTAGGTGTGAGTTTGAAAATTATAATTATTTAGAAAATCATAAGAAAGGAAAAATGTGACAAAATGTATAGGTTAAGACATTAATGTCTTTTCAGTACCACTCTGAACAGGATCATGTGAAATAAACATATAAATCCACTTAAGACCTTAAAAATATCAGAAGAACTTAGCCTCCTTATAACTGCTTTGTCAGGTATGTGACTGAATAGTACCCACTATGACAGATTTAACATAATCATAAGTTTTAACAAAAAAAAATATGCACACCACTCAATTTAAGTTAAAGTGATGGGTTCAAAATAGACCTTTATCCAGTATTTGGGAAATCTGCATATGAAAGAAAATTATGTATCTTTAGGGTTTGGGGGAGTTTCCACTAGTAATTGTTTTCGATTTAAAGAAATCCAATGATAAATTCAACTTACGATTAAAGAGTATTAACTTGTGTTAATCCTACAAAAAATACTACTATAATCCAGAGACAGGAAGAATTAAAACCTGTAAGATTAAAGACCTTGAGTGCCAAGATAAAAAATTAAAATATCACAGTACCTGTGACTTAGTATAGCCTTCTCCAAATACATTATAAAAATAACTGTGTTAGTCAAACATCTTGGATGAAATTGCTTCTTCATCCTCTCCAGAAACTATGATAGGCAATAGAGATTAACGGGATATTAATGCATTAAATCCACATGCATAGACTTTACCAGTTCGTTCTTACCATGCATTTTCCATGTGAGTTGGAGCTTCAGCTTCAGGAAGGCTAACAGAAGTATACTTTATAGGACTTGAAACCAATCTGTGAAGCAGGAACCCGAGGCACCGGAACTATCACCACCCACAGCATAGGAACTCCATAATTACACACTCTAGTACAAAGCCCCATAAGAATGTACTGGACATGGTTTCAACTTGGGGTGGGGGGGAAATAAATAAAAATATCTCTTAATACTTACATGAAGCTTTAAGATTTATACAAAGCAATGGTAACAGAAGCGAAAAAGCCCTTTAGACAGGTTTCTTTGCAGTACAAGCCATTTTCAAAGTTCTAAACAAGTTTAATTTGGATAAATACAATTAATAAACTAAAAGCTAGCTACTTATCTAGATGATGGTATTTCAGACAAATCATGTGGAAATATCTTACCTCTTCTCCTGAAAGATAGTAAGCCGAAAGTAGTCCACCAACAAAACGGATGTTCACTTCAAATACCGAAATTTCAGCATTCTGTTGAAATAAACACACATAGTTTTACTCCCTGATACTTTTCTGTGCAGTTTTGTTTGTTTGTTTTTGTCAGGGAAGCTTCTGGAGCTTGAGCTAGCTAGTATTTTTCTTAGAGAACCTTGTGAAGAAGTTCAGGTTCTTTCCATTTCAATCCTGACCCTCAGCACATGCCAAGAACTTTTCTTTGATGTGGGAAAGCTGAAGGTGTAAAGAGGTAGGTAAGGAAATAAATTAATCAGATATCGTAAACACTTGTGTTTCCTGTAAGAATTGAATTAAATTACTTTTTGATTTTGAATTGCTCAAAGTAAATTGAGGAATATAGGAAGTGAATATTTTGTTTCCAGAACCATATATTTTGCCTTTCTAGATTTAACACAGCCACTTAACTCACAAACTATCACTATCTTGCAAGTAATGCAAAGACCCTTTAAGAAAAGCTCAGTATCTGCTTCAGAAAATCAGTTATACACAAAAAGAAGTATTTGAAGTAATGTGAATAAAGATTTTACTGTCAAACCACAAAGACTAATTGCATTGTAATCCCGAACTTTTGTTGAAGTGATGATCTTTCAGACAAAACCATTGTTTTAATGTTATGAGACTTACAATACTTTACCTGCACACATCTCTGAACCTTTGTTTGAAATCCTCATCTCTTACTAAAATCTTTATACAAGCTACTGAATCAGACACAATTAATGAAATGTACAGACATTTCATTAACGGCAGATTTAAAAGCTGTTGCTTAGCACATAGTTACTCTTACACTCATTATACCAGGCCAGTAGTATTTTCAAGAATTATAGCAATTTGCAAAACAGTTACAGAAGTTTTATAATTTCATGTCGAAGAAACATTCATCTCCACATGGAAATTCTGTGTGAAGAAGTAGTTTGTTAAGAAAAGTGAACCTGTCCTAAAAGTAGCATATTCTTGCCACATCAATTTTAACTCTTTCTGGTTTGATTTTATAATTTTTTTGTGTTAAGCATTTAAGATGCCACACCCTGATCATTAACCTCTTTTCATATTTTTAATCATCATCTGCATGCAGTTTGCACAGACAAAACTCTATATATTTCTACTCAGCAGTCAAATCCCAAGTAAGCAATGTTATTATTATTTTGCTCTCAGATCCAGCTATACACAAATACCTTACAATTTATTTAACAGTGCCAAAATAAATAGGAAAAACTTTCATCTTCACTTCCCAAAATTTCTACTTCACCAGCTAAAGAGGCTGGAATTATTTTACTTTATTTCTTATTTCAAGTTTAACTTTCTCTTTCAAATCATCATTGTACCATTTCATAGCAGGTCTGAGAAGTGGTTGAATTAATTCCACTCAAACTAATGGAACTTCTGTAAGGAGAAGTGACTGGACGTGCATATTCCAAAATGACTACTATCTTCCTTTTGTAAGATCCCAAGATGGCTCTGACCAACTGGATAGATAAAATTCCTAATTTCACAGTCTTTTCATTAGCACTCCAATTAAACCTCATGGCCATGTGCTGTGTGCAACAGCATCTGAAACACCTTTGTTAGTACATGTCTATGCTAAGTTTTTATTGTTCCCATGCAACATCATCTTGCTCTTGCTGCCAGTTTTGGAGGCCTCTCAATTGTAACGGATTCTGAAAGCATGTAGATGCTTGGGAAAGTGATATATATATTGGGAACAACATACTTCCAGGGCTTTTATGGTAATTGAAGGGTGTGAGTAATTTGGTCTTTCATCTTACCTTTGATCAATAATTTATTATTCACTATTTGATCTTCTAGTAAGTAAATCACAAACGGGATACTACAAGCACTATACGAAATCCAAAGAAATCATTACTGCTGCTCACTGTACTTAGAGAAACAGAATATATGTATCCACAGAATCACAGAAAGATGGGGGTTGGAAGAGACCTCAAAAAATCTAGTCCAAGCCCCCTGCCAAAGCAGGAAGGTAGATCACACAGGAATGTGTCCAGGGGAGTTCTGAATGTCTCCAGAGAAGGAAACTCCACAACCTCCCTGGGTAGCCTGTTCCAGTGCTCTGTCACCCACAGACTGGAAAAGCTTTTACCAATGTTTTTGTGGAACATCCTATGCTCCAGCTTGCACCTGTTGCCCCTTGGACGTCACTGAGAAGAGCCTTGCTCTGTCCTTCTGACACTCACTCTTTACATATTTATAAACATTAATGAGGTCACCCCTCAGGCTCCTCCAAGCTAAAGAGACCCAGCTCCTTCAGCCTTTCCGCATAAGGGAAGCAGTTCCCTGTCTCTCCTGAGCTGAAGGGCCCAGAACTGGACGCAATATTCCAGATGTGGCCTCACCAGGGCAGAGTAGAGGGGGAGGAGAACCTCTCATGACCTACTAGCCACATCCCTTCTAATACACCCCAGGAAGCCACTGGCCTTCCTGGCCACGAGGGCACATTGCTGGCTCATGGTCATCCTGCTGTCCACTAGGACACCCGGGTCCCTTTCCCCTACTCTGCTCTCCAACAGGTCAGTCCCCAACCTGTACAGGTTTCATAGTGTCATAGAATCATTACCGTTGGAAAAGACCTTTAGGATCATCAAGTCTAAGCATTACCTAACTAACCATGCCCACTTCTAAACCATATCCCTAAGCATGACATCTAGACAGCTCTAAATACATTCAAGGATGGTGATTCAACTAGTTCCCTGTGCAGCCTCTTCCAGTCTTTGACAAACCTTTCAGTGCAGAAGTTTTTCCTAACGTATAACATAAACCTCCAGAGATGTAACTTGAGGCCATTTCCTCTTGTCCTATCAGTTGTAACTTGTCAGAAGAGACCAACATCCACCTCTCTAACACCTCCTTTCAGAAGGAGCAATATGATCTCAGTTGCACCTCCTCACTTTACTCACCCTGCTGTAAACTGCAGGATTAAGTCTACAACTGATAAATAACTGAAGATTCAACCAGCTGTGGTGGAATTTAACATTGAAAGCAGTACTCAAATAACAAAACTACTGTCAGCTGGGCTCTCCTGAAGCCCCTCTCCTACTGGAGTTCTCCAGTTACCCCAAAATCAGTATTCATATCCTTCTGGATCATTTCCTTAGCATATCTCTTTCAGGAAAGTCTTCCTCTCCACAAATTCATAGACCAAGGGCAAAACAATTTCCGTTTATGTTTTCTCATGGGAAATCACCCTCACTTATAAATACAACATTTGAAATACAACCGAATTTTATTTATCTAGTATTAGCTTCCACCTGGCACTCATCAGTACTGGTACTTGTTCTGCCATTCACAATTCAGTTGAAGAAAATACTGCGTGCTCTTTAAGTCATTGAATGTATTCACAATAATCAAGGCACCTCAATTCATATTTGATAAAGAGCTTACTCTCTTAGTTTTTATAAAGCTCCAAATAAGGCCATAAATCCTAACAAATAATTTACTTCAGTTTTCTTTATGGCACAGAATCTTTCTAAAACCTTCCTTCAGTTCTCCTGTTTCTGTATCATCAAGAGAGTAATAAAACTTCAGTCACCTCATCTGCATTTCCATTTATTGCTCCTATGCACGTGAATATATCTACAGTTTGAGAGTAGTAAGATTTAAATTTGTAAATGTTCAAATTTGAAATAAACAATCTGGATTCTAAAGGTCTGTCTTGTTACTGACTGCCATATACCACAGATATATTTGAGCTAAAGATAAATGCTGGAAGCATTAATAATTAGATCCAAATAATATTTGCTACTCTGGGATCTTGGAAAACGAGTATGTTAATGTATACGTGACAGTAGAGATAAATTTAATTTCAAGTTGCTAAACTTTTTCCACTCTTTTCTAGTTGCCAAAATACTAGACACATTACACGCAAAACTTCTACATTGCATGAATCTGCACACAAAGATACTCAAATTTGCAAAGCTAAGTACAAAGGCAAAAAACCAGAATGGGCAAATCAATCTTCAAGCTTCAACATGGCTTATAAAATCAGATACAGTGATTGATCAAACTCTGTAAACAGCTTTGCTTAAGAGTGCTAGCAGGACACAAGACTGAAGGTATCCTTGCTATCTTATTCACTCCCCTCTCTTTTTGCAGTTCCCCAACTCATTTAGTATCTATCTTCAAGAGCAAAAGACAAAATACTCTTCATATTTTCTCCACAGAACAACAGCAACTCTTTCCTACGTTGATCCATTCTGTGCAGTTAAAGGAAGGCATCTGTGATGAGACAGACAATGCATGATGAGTCAGTGATCACACAAAATGTCAATTAAAGTCAACTGAATTATACATAGATAAACCCATTACACAGGCTGCTGTCGCTTTCATCTGACCAAGCAATGGTAACTTCCAGAATCCTTGATTTTGACCAAAAAATACAGAAGGATGAGGCAAACAAATAAAATCCACTAATAACCAACAGGAAGGTTGTTTTAGTTTGAATCTAAATTCACTTTTGAGATATCTTCTGGTAGAAGAAACCATTTTCCTCTTCTCCCAACAAGCGTATGACTTCCTCCTCTGTGCCTTGCTCACATTCTGGTCCTGCCTGACTATAACCACATCAGACGGCTGGTCAGTCGGTCAGGGCATGAGTTCATGCACTGTCCACATACCATTTAATTGCTAGAATATTCTGGTCCTGGTCCCCTGTTGTTCTAGCTAATGTCCAGGCATGCTTTAGGACACCATGTAGGCCAAGGACTGTTCCCAGTATGCAGTATGAGTAACACTGTCCTTTTACAGGGATGGAGTTTACCATGGCTGAAGAATCAGAATCATAGAATGTTTTAGGTTGGAAAAGACCTTCAAGGTCACTGAGTCCAACCATTAACCTAGCAATGCCAGGGCCACCACTAAACCATTTCACCAAGCACCACATTTACACATCTTTTAAATACCTCCAGGGATGGTGACTCAACCACTTTCCTAGGCAGTCTGTTCCAACGCTTGACAACTCTTTCCATGGAGAAATTTCCCCTAATATCCAATCTAAACCACCCCTGGTGCAATTTGAGGTAATTTTCTCTTGTCCTATTACTTGTTACATGAGAGAAGAGACTGACAAAGAAAAAGCAAATGGATCAGTTAATCTCTCATCCTAAAGAGGTTAGTGTCTGTCTGGGTATAAAAGTGAAGCACCATCAATTCCAACACTTAACAACTCCTAACCCTTCACTGCTGTGCCACGCAGCTCAGCTCCTGGACCACTGCTCTCTGACTCCTGACACCTTCATCCATCTCATTAAGATCCCTCTTCCAATCTCTCTGATCAAGTATGAATTCACTGTGGTTCACAGTTGTGGTTCAAAAGTTGGGTGGTGGTACAGAAACTCATTCAGAAGGCTATGAATGCTCTGTGTGTGTGTGCAGGTTCAAAAGTAAATAATGAAAAAAAAACCAACAACAAACCCCAAACAGAGAAGAACACAGCAGTGTGTAGTTGTAGCTAGGAAACAGCCAAGCTCCCTAGTGATTGCCTGAAAGACTGGCTCCTTTTGCCCCTCTGTTGCAACATGTCGATACTCAACCCAGCACAGCACAGCCTTGGACGAGGCCATGCCCCAGCACTGTGAAAAGGGTGTGCAAGCAGCACTGTGCGTGGGGAGGTTAGACCAGATCTTCAGCTATACTAACTCAAAGGCAAAGATACACCCCCATGGAGATGAAGTGATTTAATGGAGAACAGCGTACACATCATGCAAAGGACATGGATTTAGCCACCGTAAATGTCAGCTCTTTCCAAAGGTAGGAGTATGTCTAAATTTCCTAAAATACTGACAGAATCAGAAAATGGAACTTAATTCCCCTACGACTACTTGGTTCAACTGAAACTTCAGCAAGTTATCAAATAAAAGGAATTTCAGCAGTTATGAGAGCATAACTCATAACTCCAAGTATTGTGATATGGATATCTGTTATAAAATCACAGAACTACCAGCTGCAGCTGTAATAAAAATAGCTTAGGTGTGTTGTACTCCAAAAGGGGAAGCTTCCAAACATGTCCACTCACTAGCTTGCCAAAATTCATGTTTGACAAGAAATGTGGCATTTACTTACCTAGAATTTTCCTTCAAAATCAAACCAGTTTGCTTTTTTTCAGAAACAAGAGTAACCCTGACAACTAATACATTGAATTTTGATACTGAAATGTAACAGGTGAACAGAGGATGCCATTTCCCGTTAAATAATCTTTACTTCGGAAATCTTCTTATGGGATAAACTAGTACCTACTTTTACAAAATGTCATTTGGAAACTTTCATGATCAGGTTATGAAAATGATGGAGTGCTGGCCAAATAGTTCAACATGTACAATGAGTATGTGATGTATTACAAACTTCTAGAGAGGAAAATTTGCTGCATTGGCCTAGAATCTAAAGAGAGAAGATTCTGCTACAGAATAGTCACAGCTGTTTTTGCAAAGAACATCTTAAAGAAAATTAAAGATTTAAAAAGCATATTTCTAAGGTAAAATGGAGAGAAAAACTAATCTTATTTATACAAATAAGGCCAAACATGCTTCCCTAAAAGCTGATTAAGCAGTCACTGCCAGGAAATCACCAGAAACATCAAAGAGAAACACATTTTATACTACTCACAAGAAAATAACACTTAGGGATATGTCAGTGTGTCAGTTACTAAATCTACGTGACTGTCATGGGAGAAAGGTTTCTGAAACAGGAGAAAGTAGGAGCATACAAAACATCAATGCAGAAAATGTCACATAATGCCTGATACATAACAACTGCTGTTGTTCTTTGTGTTAAATGATTTCCAAATTTGAACTCTTAACATACAAATACAAAGCAGCATTTGAAACTGGAACCTACATTTAAAGTGGAAAATAAACAAAAGTACAGGTTGAGTAGCTTCAAACAATTCAGCTATTAAACAAACTGCCATCAATTATTAAAGTTTGTTGCAGTTATTTGTTTTCATTTTCTCATTCCACTTTGGGAAAATTCACCTCCTTATTACTGACGCCAATGTAAAATTCAATTCTATATGACTCTGAAGTATCAGGAGAATAATTTCATGATGTGTTAAACTCAAGGCAGCTATTTACAGGAATATTAAGAACAAGATATTGTTCCTGATGCATAGCAGTATTATCTGTAAAGTACTTTTGGTAAATCTGCTGGATTGCTGCATTGACTGACAAACACATTACAAAATTTCAGACATTTTGGAAGACTTCATAGCTTTTAAATATTACTGTGAAAAAGTAAGTGCTACGGAATTTTAGAAGTACATCAATCAACAAGAGAAGCTGAAATTGCAGGCAATACCATCTAGAAGTAGAAGTTTTCAGTACAAAGTGTAGCAAGATTTATGCAAACCCAAAGATTTTAGTATTATTTTTGTAAATCACTGTACAGGACTTTATGATGTTCCTCTGAGTGGAGTTCAGCTTTTCCTTTAAAGTGGAGTTTACATTTTCTATAATGCTTTGTTCTTACATTTTAAAATATCTTAATAATACTAAGCTAATAAGACAGGAATTTACTATTACAAAAACTCCTTTATAAAAAAATGTTATGCACAAATTAAAGAGCATCATTCAGACATCTCACATGACTTGGAAGCACAGTTTAATATCCTGTATTTACATTATTAATGTAAATATAAATGCGCATTAAATTGCTGCTTATATAAACTATATAATATCCACCCTTATTAACTCCTCCTTAAAATGATAAAGAGTTCTCAAGCATGTAAGGGAAGCTAATTAATTCTGAGTTTTGCATAACATATTAGAAAGAGCACGTTGTTTTCAGGAAGTGTTTATACCATTACACATGTCAACTACAAGAGCTTTTAAGTGCTCAGTGTACCATGCCTACAATGCTCTCTTACTTTACTACACTGATCATCAGAGGTACTCCATTAGTTCTCTGTACCCAGCAACTAAAAAAAAATACTCTGGCAAGGCTAAAACCACAGCTTCTCAATGTAATTAAAGGTTTACAAAGGTTCTTGCCTATGCAGGACCTTTCCAGAATAAAAACTTTAATAATGAACTTTGCTCTCAGCTGCATATTTACCAGTTAATAGGATGATTTGTATACGAAGTTGCAATGACCTGGTGCCTCTTAAGACTGAAGCAGCCCAGTTTGTGCCAATAATTCACCCTAACTCACAGGATTTGACTTTACTAGAATACACAAAGGAACTTAAACGGTATGTATGGTGTATGGCTTTCTCCAAACGGAAGTCTAACTAGTGGAAAATTTCACAAAGTAAAAATGTAAAATGTTTGTGTAATTAAAAAAATCATGCAATAAACCTGAAAAGTTTGTTGTTTGCTTTACAACAGTAAATTACTCTACTCCTTTTTCCTTTCTTCAGTGCAAGTCATTGCCTCCTACCTAGCTGAATCTCTCAGACTAAAAAAACTGTGTAAACGCAGAGCAGCAAGATTATTATATTTCTGCTTCCTACCTTTTTTTTATCTACCAAAGATGTAATTCTTTAGCCTTGTGTCATGCCTGCAATATTAGAACCCAGTCCTCAACTGGCCCTTGGGACACTAAACAGAGCATTAAATGTTCATCAGCAACACTACTTACCACATTGAAATCTAAGTTTTTTTCAACCCACTCCTTGGCTTCCTTGAATTCCTCTTTCATTTCCATCATGTATAGTGTATCAAGGGCATCTACTATTGTTGCTCCTTGAATGTTACCTGAAATACATGAAGACACAGTGATTTACTTTAGAATAGAAAGTTTTTCGGTTATACCTAGTTAACTTTAATTCTTATTTCAAAATCCAGCTTCAATTAATCTAACTAAAAACTGGGCACATAAGCATTCAAGTAGGCAACTAATAGGTCAGTCTTAACTTTGATTCTCATGCCACAACACAACATCATAATATTAAAGTATTTCTTCCACTAATGAAGTTTTGAAGAACGATTCTGATGCACTGCAGTTTCAGCCATAACTTTGCATTTTTAGACACTGATGGAACAGTCCTTCATAAAGGACAATAAATCTCAGTAAATTGAGAAATTACTGCTTCTTCCAGTTCAGAGTGAAAAAGACTGTTGGGTTTTTGTTTTTATACTCAATAACATACATAAAGCTTTAAGAAGCTGGTAGGTACGAATCATATTTCAGTTAAGGAAACCCTTTAAGAAGTATCCTCTCTGAAAAACAATTCTTTTGATAATCTACATCACCATGTAACCTGCACAAAACAGCATTGAGGAGCAATGTCAAACGTGCACAAGTGACTTTCACAGCTTGGGAGAGACTGCCAGATACCAGTTTTCAGAGCAAGTTCCTGTTTGCAAAAGTAGCATCCTTCCACCCTGTTATGGTGATGGCTAGGAGTTAGCCTTCACCTAACATTGTAAGATCAAATATCATCAGTATGTTTTCCTCTGGCATGGATTAAAAGTTCAAGATCCTATACTGAAAGGTTACTGTGGAGGTTGGGGGAGAAAAAGCTACTCTAAGGACTTTCCCATGCTTCCTTCAAATCTACAATTTACATTTCCAAAACATCATTTTCATCTAGGAAGTTTCAACTCCTATTTACAAATAGTGTCAAAAACTCAGTTTGGGCCATTTTGCTCAATTTTATACTTATGAACTTGGCTCCAGCACTCTTCATTAGGAATGAAAACTACTGTTAAGACATACTTTAGAGAAGACCCTAGATAGAGAAGCCAAAACTTAAGATTGCAAAATAATTTAGGTAGCAAGGAACCTGCCCAGTGGGATGGGGGAGAGAATAGGGGGGAAAAAACAGCAAAACTCGTGAGTTGAGATGAAGACAGTTTAGTAAGACAGAAAAGGAATAATAGTAACAACAACATACAAACAAAAATGATGTGCAATGTAACTGGACGGGCTAGAGAGTTGGGCAGGGAAAAATTTAATGAAATATAACAAGGGAAAGTGTAGGGTCTTGCATCTGGGTAGGAATAACCCCACGTTCCAGTATAGGTTGGGGAATGACTTATTAGAGAGGGGACTTATTGAGGGGAAAGGGACCTGGGGATCCTGGTGGA